AAAGCCTTCCCTCTTCGAACGGGAACCAGAAAAGATGCCCTTTGTCACCACTCCTGTTCAATAGTGTTTTGGAAGTCTTAGCCGGAGCTATATGGCAATATAGGAAAATTAAAGGCATCCAACTGTAAAGTCATATGAATTGCAAGGTCGGTGGTTCAAGCTCACCAGCCGCTCCTTGGAAACCCTATACAGGGTCTCTATGCATCAGAATCGACTCGACGGCACTTAACAACAACAACAACAAATTGGCAAAGAGGAAATAAAACTCCATTTGCAGACAATATGATCCTATACATAGAAAACCCCAACAACTCAGTAAAAAAGCTACTAGACATCATTGGAAGATTCAGCAAAGTGACAGGGTAAAGATCAACATACAAAAATCAACTGGATTCCTCTATAGTAACAATGACAGTGCTGAAAAGGACACTCAGAAAGCAATACCATTTAAAATAGCTACCCAAAGGATGAAATATTTAGGAATAAACGTAACCACAGAAACAAAGGACCTATACAAAGAAAACTACAAAACACTACTACAAGAAACCAAAAGAGACTTACGAAAGTGGAAGAATGTACCATATTCCTGGATAGGAAGACTCAACATCATGGAAAATGTCAATACTGCCCAAAGCAATTTACACATATAATGCAATCCCAATCCAGATTCCAATGACATTCTTAAAAAAGATGGAAAAAACAATTACAAACTTTATATGGAAAGAAAAGAGGCCCAGGATAAGCAAAGCACTACTTAAGAACAAGGTTGGAAGCCTCTCACTCCCCGATTTGACCATGGCTACAGTGGTCAAAAGGCCTGGTACTGGTACAATGAAAGATCCACTGATCAATGGAACAGAATTGAGAATCCAGAAATTAACCCATCCACATGCAGCCAACTGATTTTAGACAAAACACCTAAATATATCACATGGGGAGGTGATAGTCTTTTCAACAGTTGGTGCTGACAGAACTGGAAAGCAATATGCAAAAGATTGAAGCAAGACCTTTACCTCATGCCCTATACAAAAACCAACTCAGCATGGATTAAAGACCTAAATGTGAATCCAAAAATTACGAAGGTCATTAATGAAACAATAGGGACAAATGTGAGGACTCTAATTCAGGGCATACACAGACTACCAAACATTTTGAAAACTACACAAACAAAAGTAGACAAAATATCTATTTTGGGGACATACTAAAAATTTAAAACTTATGTGCATCAAAAGACTTCACCAAAAGAGGGAAGCCCACAGAATGGGAAAAATCTTTTGCAATGACACATGGGACAAGGGACTCATTTCTAAAATATATAGGAAACTACAACACCTCTACAAGGAAAAGACAAATAGCACAATTAAAAAATGGGCACAGGACATGAATAGACATTTCACCAAGGAGGAGATCTGGGCAGCCAACAAACATATGAAGAAATATTCTCTATCACTAGCCATTAGAGAGATGCAAATCAAACGAACAATGAGATATCATCTCACACC